GATTCGAGCATGGCCCTGGTGCAGGCCGAAGCACCTCCTGAGGGATCATTTGAACCGCCGCGTCTGACCAGACGGAACATCGGCGAATTCATTAAAGCCGATCCCAGCGGCTTGCGCGAGACTGCGGCATCGGTCCAGTACGGGATGCGTTGGGGCAAGGGGCTCGAGGAGATCAACGATGAGATCGAGAGCTGCCTAAACAATGCCAGACGACGCAGCCGGGAACGGCGTGCCCCAGCGGTTATCGTGGTGTCGTATGCCGGCAACGACGTGTGGGGGAAGCACGGGTTCGTCGGCAACACTTGGATTGACTCCAGAAGTGTACACCGGAATCCCGCTGTTCACCGCGCTGCTTCACAGTGCCAGCATGAATTAGCGAGGAGGCATTTCGCGCAGTTGGAGAGACTAGCGAACTTCCTCCAGCGCCCCGATGTGGGGGCCATATCGATAATAGCATATGCAGACGCGAATTCCTTTGGACTCCACCAAGATTTCGCGCGCGAGATGTGCTTGTTCGGTGACGCCGCCCAGAACAAGGGGTTGCTTGCTGTGACTGGATCTCCGCTCACACGTGCAACAACTCGCTACGATGGGTTTCATGCAGAGGACAGCGATAGCAACAGGACTGCCTACTATCGATACTTCGTTGCTATGGCGAGGCTGACCTATCAGATGTGGCGATTGAAGGACTGTGAAGCGCTGCGGAAGCAAGCTCGCCTTCAACCTGTCATGACTCCGAAAGAGGAGAAAGCCCGTGCGGAAACCGAGGCCCGAGAGAGATATCGTGCGTCCTACGTGTTTCTCGAGCCGCATGACCGATTCCCTGAGAACAAGATTATGATCGAACCCAACCTTGGCAAGACATGCGTGTACGCTGATGGTCACGAAGTGGCACTGTTGGACGAGATCACTGGGGAGCATTTGAAGGCCACTCCGGAGGAACTGGAGCGGGCTGGTATCATTTTGCCCCAGGGAACTGGTGAGCCAACAGTTGACGTCACCTCGTCACCTGAAAAGGACTCAAGCGTCAATGACCCTGTGGAGGATGACTTCGTTCCGGACTATGACCCTGATGACGAACCTCATCCAACTCAGAAGACAACGCTTCTTGCTGAGCCAACTGAGTCATGCCCTGACGAGAAGCTCATGAGCGTGAACGCTGGCAAGAAGGGCGCTTGGGAACACGTGTCTAGAGTTGAGATTGAAGAGTCAGACCTTCGTGTCAGATCGGACATCGACCAACCTCCTGAGACTGTCGATGAGATCATTGAGATCGTGGGCGATCACTACAAGGCTGCCCTTGCCGAAGGTTACCAGGACCCGCAGGATGACGCTCTTGAATCCGATGATGAAGAGATTGTTTTCAATCAGCAAATCGTCGGAGGTTCAAGCGCGCTGGAAAGCGTTGCCGATAAGATGAAGTTCAACAAGATCTATGCAGCCCAATACCTCGAAGGGGGTGCATTGCATCTTTCAAGGAACCCGCATGGAGCAATCTCCATGTCGAGCAACGCCCTGCGCCATTACACCGAGGCGGTCACAGGCAGAACTCTTCCTTTGCACTTCATCGACGATGACGGAGACGATGATGAGCTCCCGCCACCGCCGCCGCCGGCGGAACCTTGCCCGTACAAACGGGACAAGGACGGAGTTCACCGCCCGGTCGCAGAGGAACTGCCTGCTCTCAAAAGAAAGACTGCCGCTGATCTCGGTGCAGCTCCTAAGGCGAAGGCAGCACCAGACAGCCTCAAGAAGCTCCGAACTGGTGACAAAGTCGTGAATGTCGACATGTCCAGCTCGGCGGAAGCCGGAGCCAAGAAGGGCTCATCAGAGGTGGTCGATGTCGAAATGGAAGAAACGGCAGGGACATCTTCATCATCTGCCAATCCTCCCAAGGCGAAACACATGCCAAAGCCATCATCCGTGCCCAAAGCCGCAGCATCGAGTACTGCGGCCCCCGGAAGGGATGCGCCCAAATTGGTCCCAGCAGGAGGAACTCCGATCCGTACGACAATGCCGGCAAACCAGGTGCCGGGTGCTGCTGTGATCGGATGGTATGACCAGGAGCAGTTCTTTGTTTCAAAGCGTGTCTCCGGCCTGCTGCGAGGGCATAACCATGCCAATCGACGAGATCGCATTCCGCTTCCGGACTTCCAAGATGGGGCATGGATGGATTTTGCATCGGTGTTCTCATTCATTAAGAGGAGGTACTCCCGCTCCCTCACTGTGTCGGACTTGATTGACATCGTGACATCAAACCATAGATTTATGCTCGATGTGCAGCTTGCCCGCGAGGGGGAACTCTTCGCCGAGAAGTATCTCTTCCTGCCGGTGCGAACCAAGGCAATCCAATCTCACAACGACTGGATTCTGGAGAACATCAACATGGCGTGGCCCGAGGTCGACAGAATCATCTGTCTTGATCCGTCGTTCACGATCGAACGCCTGTTGCGACGGGAGCATCCTACGCTTCCAGTACGACTTGACTTGCACATCAAGGATATTCACCCCAAGATCTTGTACCACTACACTCATATCGCCTTTTTGGATGATGTGATCCGATGTGGCATTTGTCCGGGGGGACTCATGACTAGCAAGGCTCATTCGTACTTCTCGGCTTTCGATCCGAGCATTCAGAAGACGAGTCAAGCAGGAATGGCCTCGACCAGACCGGTTGCGGTCGCAGTTGATGTTGAGATGGCGGTGTCATATGGAATTAGGTTCGCCGTCACCCAAAGCCAAGCCGTTGTGACCACTGATTGGGTGCCGAACCAGTTCCTCATCTATGCGTATGACGTGTCAGCAAAGTGCTTCATCTATGCGAACCACGACTATGCAAAAGAGAGAGCCTCATTCAATCAGGATCTCCGAGACATTGTCGTGCGTCGCCGGGAACGGCTTGACCGTGGTGATGAGGCAGACGACAACGCCAGGAGGCAGTCATTGCTGGCAAGGTCCTAGGTGGGACCTGTTCGGAAAGTATGAGAAATGGGTGCATGGGGCCTGGGTGGAAAATGCCTTCATCCTCGAATCGTACAACCGTGAGTTTTGCAAGGACCAGCTCGAGCATGCAGATGCCAATATCGGAACATACTCAACTCCGTACATGGCAATTGCATGGCAGCCGGAAGGCGATGCCCCCAACAACTCGGCATGGCCTCTCTCGCTGGGATCGGTTGATTGGGCGCATTGGACCCCTGAGATGGAGATGCGCTATGACCCTCGGGGAAACGAAAGGTTCTTCACTTCACGGTGGATCACCGTTCGTCAGCACGACGTTGAGCCACAGCATTGCATTGACTGCGGATCCGATTCACCATTCGGATGTTTGTCGTGCTTGAACTGTGGACGACTGGCACGTGTTGCAACGGATATGAGAAAGGCATCGCTGCTTGTCCGTCTTGAAAACTTGGGCCGCAAGCTTCGGTTTCGACTTGTCATTGGACATGTTCCCGGATGACGATATTCGTGCCCGGGGGGACCGTGGGCTGAGGAATCCTGCAGGTGGTAGGATCAGGACTGGACAATCTGCCATCGCGACGATCCGAGCACACGCCAAGTCGCACATGGACAAAGCGTCCAAATTGGAATTTGGCTCGCTCACAGAGCGGTTGTGCTTGGATCCATTCTACGCGTTCAACTGCGCGGCGCAGGACATGTCCCCTGACTGTTTGAAGTTTTTGCAACGTCTCAGCTCAGCGGTGTTGCCCATTCCGACGCGCACCGCCCAACAAATCCAAGAAGGGGTAGGCGTCAATGTGAAAGCAAAGATCTTGATGATCCCCGACACATCCCAGCGCGAGGTTGATGTGTCGAACGAGGTCTTTGTGTTCTGGAAGAACAAGATCCTACGCCCTGGTGTTTTTGTCGGACTGTACGCAATGGAACACCACCGCTTTGAGGTCTTGGGGTTCTCTGGCTCATTCCTCTCGGAAGAGAAGGACGTAGAGAAGCTGAAAACGGAGTTCGTTGGATGGCTGTCATCCGACCTCCAGAGCATCCCGTCCTACGAGAACCTCGTACGAGCAGACCCAAGGAACATCCATGTTCCGGAAAGGGAGGGTGTCGATCGAGCAAAGGGGAAAGGTAAGGGCACATGGCGCCACGGAGGTCGACAGGCCCGTGAGAATGCACCTTACCCAAGGAATCGATGGGCCCGTGATTGGAGGGACCTCGATGATGATGTTGGTACCATCCCAGGTTGGCATTATGCTGACTGGACCTGGTACCAAGACAACTACGGAGCGGACTGGTGGGGTCGCGGCCGATAAACCCCACCTATGCACGGCGGGAGCCGATGCCTCATGACAGTTGTGCTGTTCTTTTCATCTAGTGCTTGTGGTAGCGCATTGTCTTTTCGGGCGTCGAAATGCTCTCGGAAGTCCTTGGACGCGCTGCGGAAGCAGTTGCCTCACGTCACCTTCTTTGAGGCGGTCCGCATTCTTTGCAAGGCTTAAATTCGATTTAGCCGAAGTGCACTCTTCCTGAAACGGAAGCATCACTAATTATGCCGCGTGGAAACGTGTGCCTACGTAAAAGGCCCATTTCCAATTTGACGATCTGCGGATGCATGTGAAAAGAGCTGCGTCCGACTGCTATTCGTCCGTTCGGCATTTTTACTTCATAACTAATCGAGTTAATCGTCGTTCCTTCGCGCCTCAGGTCGGCAAAGAATCTATGAAAGCCACAGGCACGTACGGTGTTAACCATGAAAGGAAACACCGGGGAACCGGAGGTCAGATCGGTATGCACGTTGTCCCGTGTACATAGTCGTGTATAGTGTTCTTCACTACCTTAGCTGCCAAGTGCGTTCAGCGGGGGGTGTATTTGCACGATTGTACACCTGTACATACCATATTGACCTCTATGTTTGGCTCAAGAAAAGGGCGCTCTACATGTTGGTACTTGTAGGCTGTTGGCCTGTAAATTCAGATTACACTGCATATAGAATCTTGATTAATGGGGCCCCATGAATGTAAAGAGGGTTTACACTCCAAATGCGGGGCGGGTTAAGCAAGAGTCTATAGTTTTTCGAGTCAATCCCATGAGCCTGGTCCATGCGCTCAGCTGGTCCGGTGGGGTTTGCTCCGAAGGCCGCGGGGCTCAAAGGTTTGCCCCTCCTGTGGCCATGAGCGTTCCAGCGAACGAAGCCGAAGCTTCCAAGCCCAGCGAAGATGACTCATGGCCATGTTCATGCCATGTTCCATTTGCCCTCGAAAATGGAAAATGTGAGGATGATCCCAGCGCTCCTTGTTGTTCTGTTATATATATATATATTTATTTTTTTTAAAATGTGTGTTTGTTTTCTGTGTGCGATATTTTTTCTTCAACAACAGTACTGTATGCCAAGCGCTTGATCCCTAGGCTCGACTCGTCACCCTGCATCAGGATCGGCAGCTGCCCGCCTCCCCCGAGCAGAAGCCGGTGCTCAATCTGGGTAGTGATACCTCATCCATTGTGTCCATGCCGGGATCACCTGGAACCATGCGATCTTCTCGCTGCAAACTGGACCAGAGTCAGAGCGGGCAAACGGGCGTTTTTGGGGCGTTTTGGGGTGGATGACTCGATTGCAGTTGTGACTGGGGTCGGTCTTATTATGAGATATTATGAGGAAAGCTCGGGCGGAAAGCGCTGACGTGCAACAGCTTCTTCTCACAGTAAAACCCTCTCACATTCTCCCTTTGAGCATGTTCTACATGTGTCCACACTGAAGTTGCTGTCCTCTTGCAATCTTTTGAGATCTTGTGGGGATCAAGACCAACGCAGAGTTGCTAATGCCTTTCACGCCCGGAACTTCAGGAACTAAATGAATTGGAGCTCACCACGCAGTTTGTTCACAAAATATAGGATATAATATGCTTTATAGACCCCAAACAGATAGAACAGTACTGTAGATCCCCACTAAAAGTGTATTCGAGACCGTTTCTATCAAATTTGGCATCCACTTAGATATAGGCCAAGATCCCCAAAAGGTGTGCGTTGTTCTCAACGGGTGCTCGCGCGTGCTCGATGCAAAAAAAATAACTTCGGCTCCCCCCCGAAGTGAAGGCAGCATCCTCACCATCCCCATGGATCCAGAGCTTTTGCGAGCCGTGCCCCTGGACCTGGTGCTTGCACGCTTCGGCCGGCACTTGGAGCCACCCGATCAGGCGTGCACACCGTGCGACTGGGGCGGAAAAGGGCGGTGGATCAGTCCGGTGCTGGTCACCGAAGGTGCTGGTCGAATCTTCTCTGTTCTTCGAGTCGGTTGAGACCTGTGACACCATGTGACATGTGGCCAGGGCATGATGAATGTGGACTCCAAGCTCTACCATCTGAGCAGGCAAGTGGATCGATTCTCGAACGTGGTGTGTGTGGGGGTTGAAGGGGGGGTTGCTTCAAGACAGGGTCAGACCACAGCTCAAGCAATTGGTCGCATAGGTAGTTTCAGAGTTGCACTTTAGTCCTACCATCCACCCGCATCCAGGTCATGGTAGCCTTAACCATTTCAAGACGGAAAAGGTTTGGTTCCGTCAATTAGTCTCGGATACAATTGAGATTCTTCGCTGTGAGAGAGGTCAGTGGTGGGGCATCTCAGAAGAAGGCCAATTCTCTTAACCTACCCCCGCTGCTCCCTTCCTGAGGGGTGAGAGGTGGTTACCCGGCGTCGCTCAGTGACCTGGATCACACTGGAGAGATAAACAAGGTGGTCACCAGCGGCCTCAAAAAATACACCTGAAGTCTGGTTTGAGAGATTGTGTTTCATACAAGATCCAGATTCCAGAAAGAATGTCACTGGTGTCAGCTTTGTGCCACCGATGTCAGTGCGAACCATGTCACCAAGGAATCGACCACTTTCTGAGCCACGATTGGTCGACGGCGCGCAGATGGAAGGTTTGCGCGCTCCTGGTGCTCTTCAACACCGCCGCCCGGGCGAAAAGGTGGGTCGTGACGGGGGTGGACGATGGTGATTGACTGTCCCGGCCCATGGACTGGAAGTACCCCGGGGGGGGTTCACAGCGGACTGGGAGGACGGACGCTTTGTTTGAGTCAGAGTCATGGAAGGCAAGGGACGCAGGTGATTTGGTGCTGACCACCATGGCAAATCGACTCCATCCAGTGTGTTCCATACCAGTGAATCGACTGCATCCGAGAGAAGGGATTCGGGATCGCTTTCCGGTCTTGGGATCGTTTTCCGGGTTCTCCACCCTGACAGGCGCATCATGGCCCCCGGGTGTTGAAGCTGGAAAAGCTTGGTTCATTTCGGGCGCGGGTAGCCCGAAAAGTGCAATGGTTTCAACGGGGGCCCGCGAGATGATGAGTCATCCTACCCAATCTGCAGAAGATATCTCCTATAGTCTCCTACCAGCCATCTGAGGTGCCTGCTTGCTTGGTGACCACCTTCCTGAGCTTCACATTTGGATTTGTTCTGTCCATTTGGGCTCTGGGATACAAAGATCTTGTGGGAGTCGAACGTGTCTGGCGTGTGAGCATGGGCATGACTAGCTTCTGGCTTTGCTTATGCTTATGGCAGCGGATCCGGCGTCTTTGGAAGCAGAACGTGGTCTTCCTCGACAAGCTGTGTATTGCGCAGCATGACGAGGAGTTGAAGAAGAAGGGCATCTTCGGACTCTCCACGCTCCTGGACGCTCGTTTTTCCCTCGGAGCTGACATGGAAGTGGACCAAACCATGGCAAACCACCCCAGCTGGTAGAGGAAGATGGCAGTGTATTTTCCAAAGACCGTTTTCGACGTGGATCTTACTTCCCGCGAGTGTATGGCCCCTTTTTTTGGCCCATGTGTCCCATGTTTGCACCACTTAGAGGATTGGACCAAAGAAGGGGGGTTCCACTACCTCGATCTTTCAAGAACAAAAAGGCTCAGGACACCACAACATGTAATTGACCGCACCATGTAAGGCGTTTGGGGTTTTTAAACTGCCCAGCAACGCCCAGGTTCCTCGAGCATTCAGAGACTTTGACCATCCTGTGGTCGCGACGTTATTTCTCGAGACTTTGGTGCGTGCCACTTGGTCGCGACATGTGGACTGCAGAGCACGCAGTCCGCCAGGGCAGGGAGGAAAAGGTTCAAAGAAAGACGTGGAAGTTTGGGCTCCAAAGGAAGGGGTCATTGAGGCTATATATAATATATATCAACATATGTTACATATGTTGGATCTTCCTTTGGAGCCCTTGTCCAAATAGGTCTTAGTCACTGAGTGTTTGGCCCTTTGGGTCACTGGGATTTGTCATAATTTGTCCTATGACCTGTTACAGTCAGTAAACAATCAATCATCACTACTATTGATCAAGGCCTTTGCTAACCATAATCATCCACCCTTTGCTGGTAATAGTAATAGGATAGACCCCAAAAGTGTGTATACAGGTCTGTAGAATATCAGATATCGTGCATATTCTGTAGCACCTGGGATTTCAACGCCCATTGATTTTTACATGTCTTTACCAAACAGCCATTGTTTTACTGCGATTTGTGGACGCCACCAGGTCAACATGTAATTGAATTTGGTATTAGCTCGTGTAGCAGGCTAGCTTGCGGGGTAGCTTCGTGAAGCAGCTTCGCCTTGGCCTGGGGAAGGGGCGGACCTTGTGGACGACCAGACGTGTGCCGGTGGTGGTGGCCTCTGGATGTGTTCCAATGCAAAACGCCTTGAACATCAATCATCTTAGAGCAACGATTGAACTGGATGCATATATCATATATCATATGTCCACTCCCGAAAACTCACATGGACCCTGTGGTTTTGGGACCCGGAGTCCGGCTGTTTTCCTCTACAAACCAGTGGTTTCCAGGGTCCATGTGAGTTTTCCACGGTATATATATATAATATATCATATATCGAAAGCAGTGTACACTATGCGCCCTCTGCGATAGTTTCGCACAGCCACTTTTCAAGCATTTTCCTTTTGGCATTAACATTTGCATGTCATTGTTTCATGTGCCACACTGCATTGTTTCGGCTTGGGCGTTCGCGAGCGTGGCGCAGTTTTTGTCTCGAACCGTGCGGTCTCGACGCAGCTGCAGGTTTGAGCTTTGCACCTTCTTGCGCCATGAACATAACAAACGAGTTGTGATGATGCCTGTGAACCTTGCGTCGCTCTTCCTGCTTGTGATCGTTTTGAATCAGGCGTGATCAACAAATCGGAGCGGAAAATCAGCATGGTGGGGGTGTGATCGTGTTGAAAGACCATCCTTAGCGGCTTTTAGTCTTTTAGTGCACACACTGAATTGCAGATCTCACCATGCAGGTATATATGCAAGTGTGGGTCTTGTTGATCAGGCATGCTCTATTCTACTGCCTGTTCATGTATTCCATGCATATCAACCGTCAGAAGTAGAGAGGGTAGAGTAGAGAATTTGCATCTCGTGTTGAAGAAATCCAAGGTCCAAAGATCTTGAAGTCCAAAGTCCAACAGTTTTGGTAGGAGTAGTTCTAGTAGTTCGACACAGTATAACTAGAATTAAGTAGCCTCCACGGTCCACGAATGAATGAGGTATCACTTGGATTGTTTCATCCCTCTCTGGTCAGTTTCCGTGTTGTGAACAGACGAAGGCATCATATGGAAGTGAACATGATGAGTTCGGCTCGAAGGATCTGGTGTTAAAACATGTTAAAACGTGACGCATGTGGTTTCAACACCTGCGTTCTGAACGCACTGTGCTGAGCAAATTCTTTTTGACCTTGTGCGTTCTGAAAACGATCCTTTTTAGGAGGCGAGGAGGCGAATCCTTCTTCCCAACCCACCAAGAAAGATTTACATAGATTTACAAAATGTTTGGTTCCCTCTTTCTACATGTTTGGACATGGACGCATACATCTTTGCATACTTGTCGAAGCAGCACAGGAACCTGTTTCATGTCTCAGGCCACCAGGAGACACGGGTTCCAACATTCTGACTCCATTGCTGGTCGGGACAGAACGTGGCGTTTTGCGTTCGGTGTCGGGTTCACAATTGGAAGACGATTTGCCTCTAAAACATTTAAAAGTAGCTTTCCACTTCATTTTAAAAATTTGTGGTGTTGATGTTTCTACTAAAATGCTTGCCTCTGACACTGTTTTTCTTTGACTGATAAGAAAACAAAGCGCAGCCAGGTCGTCACCATGATGAACGTGCTGTTCGATACAGTGACGGGGCTCAGCGTGTCCGCTCAAATTACCATAAGGACGGACCTGCTCCGGGATCGAACGACCCAAATCGCTGGTTTCTGATTGATGACCCAGTAAGACGAGACGCTTGATGGGACTGGCATATTTACTGATTCAGTTGGGGTGCTTGAAGAGGGGTCAGATATGTATGTATATACTGTAGATGGAGTATTTGAGACAGAAGAGTACCAAAACGAGCATTTCTGAGTCCGTTTGTGCAGAGTTCAAAAACCCCACGCACGGTGGGACCATGAGTCAATTGAAATAGTCGTCGACGGGTTTAAGGTGCGAAGGTTTTGGTGCAGAACATGAGGAACGGATACCGACGTTCCTCAAACATATGGCGGAAAAGCAACCTACTAGCGGACTATAGCGATGGCCTCCAACCTACTAGTGATGGCCTCCAACCTCATAGCGATGGCTTGGCGGCCTGTTTGATGAGCGAACGCCCTAGGGCTCCAGTCATACCTCCTCAGAAGGTATTTGGACCCTCCTGGCACCCACCCCAAACACCTTGTCAGAAGGTTCTCTTTGACCCTGAGCACATACATACACACACACAAACCCACTTCATGTGGCAAGCATTGTGGCATGTCGGTGTTGCCATGTCAGTGTTCTCTAACGGCGAGTGTCCTGAAAGGGACAGGTGAATCGTGACTCTGGTCGAAGGCACATTTGCAGACCTGAATCATCCTGTCACAGCCTCAAGGCCTCTAGATTGCAAAACTGCTGAAGCATTCACAAATCAGGTGCAGGTACCGCGAGTTAATCAGACTCGGTATCCCATGATTGGTACCTTCGTTGAGTGCGGTCCCACAATCATGCCGCACTTCCCTGCTTGCAAGGTAGAGAAAAGAAAAACCATAAAGTCTCCCTCTAAATCCAAGGGTTGCGCATTCGCCCCCCTACAGGGGGCATGAGAAAACACATGTGCGCGCAAGAAAGAACAGATGAAAAGGCAAGAAGGAGAGACATGAAAATAACTATTACGCGCAAGGATGTGCAAAGTATGCGAGGGCCATGAAAAGGACAACTGATGAATCAGACCTCATTATAACGAAACTCCGGGCACCTCCCAATCTGGTTTCAATGTAGATGTGCACGCGCACGCTGAGGGCCAGACGTGCACGCGCAAAAGAAAGAATGAGACGAAATGATCCGACATGAAGGCTGAAGAGACATGAAAAGAAAAAGGAAAACTTGTGTTTGTGTGAAGGCAAATGTAAAGGGAAGCCAGATGAAGTAACGTAGGAGTGTTTTAGAGCCACAAGAAAGACATAGAAAAACAAAAAGAAACGCTGATACCATGGCCACCTGACACCATTCCAGGTGCTCGGTTGCAATGCCATGTAACAGCTGCTGGATCGGAAACGGCTGACTCAGCAAGGAAGTAATCAGAAAAGGTGCAGCGACCAAGCTTGTTGTTTTCATTGGTCGAAAGCATCTAGACAAATAGTCTAGGTCTAGGAGTCTAGCCTGTGAGTTGTAACTACACGCGAAACTTGACGATTGCATCTCGAATGGTGCATCTTGTGATTGGAAACATTCACAGACCACTATGACTATATCATCAATTCTTTTAGGAAGAGAATGAGAGAGATGTGTGCGGCTATAAGTCAAAATATTCACATAAATTATACATTTGAAGTGGAACAGCACCCTCAACTAAGGATTGAGACGTGAAAGTCCGCACACGCGCAAGACTTTGCTATTGCTTGTTCCAAAAGTTTGGAGAGCAGGCCTAAAGGATCCTAAAGGTACACAGCGGACATGGACCAAACAGCAAAGACGAAATCAATGCATGGACCTTTGATGGTAGCCTTTGCCAAGAAGAGGAAGAGCAAGTGAGTTTAGCTCACCACTCTGATTTGCCACCCTCAAGCTGCTGAATTTGGGTTGGTGCAAACTGGAATTTGGTTTCAGTCCATGTTCCCTTTGGCTCCGGGGCTCGAAGCGATCTCCATACACACATGAACACTCCATGTTCGCGATTGTTCGCCCGACCCGCCCACATTGATCCTTGAAGCCACCCATTAGTTGGTAAATGTAGTCAAAGTTCATTCGAATATCATGGAGTGCCGGCGCATCAATACAAATTACATCAAATTACTAACACAATCTAACACATACAATATACCAGATGCGCGCACCAATTACGGCAATTGTTTCCCATAGTAATGCGAGGAGCCTTCTTGTCATTCCTGCTTATGCGATGCTTGGCGGTTATTTCTTTGGGGGTGCTGCAAGTTTTCTTTGGAATAAATAAATAGATACAATTAGAAAAACATAGCTTTTTACATCATAGTAGAAGGAACCAGGTTGAGCAAAAAATCAAGCGATTTTTTCCCGCAGGGGTTTTAAAAAGAACATGTTTGTTGTTAAAACATCGTTTCTTCACCTGCGATTGTAAGCCAAAAACCTCGAATACACATGTTGTTTTTTAACTTTATGCTGCCCGTCGCACTGCTCGCTGTTGGGGTCATTGGAAAGAATGGAAAGAAGTGTTGCTTTGAAAACCGGATGTGTCCAAATACTCCGCGGTCGAAATACGGTTGCTCGTCTCCTCCTTCAGCCGCGAAGCCGCCTCAGGGTCATGATCGATGCCGGCATGGAATTGATTCGAGACTTGCGAGACCTCTCAAAGCAGCTCCAAGACTTCAGTGTGGACCGTGCCGAGTGCTTTTGCTGCTCTAACAAGCACATTCATCCGACCACTGGTCAAGCTTTGCCTTGCGACCGCGAATTGGTGGTGGAAACGCTAGGTGGGGTTGTTGGAATACCAAATGGTTCAGGGAATATCGTCCAGATTGTTTCCATTTGCTTCGAGTCCAGACGCTTATTCCCATGCTTGTCCCATCGTGGAGGAGCAGAGGTGGTCCCAGGTCAAAGCTGTGTTGATAGGGCACGCCACTCAGAACAGACTCCTTTCGTATCCTTTCGTGTTCTTCTGGGCAAGCCGTTTCGCTTGTGACAGGATGGCTGGGTCAAACACTGGCGAACGTAGGAGGGGGGTTCCAAAGTCCTTCATATCCACCCAAACGACGCGAACGTAGGAGGATGGTTTGGCAGCACCCGCGCTTTCGAATGGTTGGTGCGCGAACGTTTGACACAAAACGTGGAGAACTCCATCCGGGCCGTTCTCACCGCACAGTATCCCTTGTATGTGGCTTGGCTGCTTGCGGACCGGGCCGGGCATCCTTGGGCACGGTCCGGCGCTTGGGGCACCTTCTTCCCGAAAGGGTGGGCCACTTCAGGGACTCGACGTCTCTACGTCGGTCTTTCATGGTGAGATAGATCCATCTCTGGCCTCTGAGACTAGATGAGTGGATATGACAGGGGCACCCAACTCCTTCCTCCGTTCGGAACCGGCAAGTCGGCATGGAACTACTGGTTTATACGGTTTATAGTCTTTGGATGTCTTTGGACATTTTTGGACCATTGGGCTACAACGGAAGGCCTCCAAACAAAGGCCACAAGAACGAATGGCCTTGTGGTCCAGGTGGCCGTGGCCTCAACGAGCCCCCTTCTCATCCTGAAGATTTGTGAGATCGCCGAAGAGGACAGCATCTCCGTGGACTTGGTGGTGACTCACTTCGCTGATTGGTGCAACTCGTCGTTAAATCCGGCCCGGATTTGCGTGGCGGTGGAGGTGCAACTCGTCCTTGTGGACTCAGGCTTGAGGTTTTGGGGAGCAAGTGCCCAAATTCATACACCAAGTAGGAGTTTTGATGGATCTTTGGTGTGCTTGATTCTTTCACATGCCGTGACCATCAGTGACTAACGTCATCAATGGAAGGATCCTTTTCACCTCGTCCAGCACCACAAATCTACTGCAAACCTCAACAAGGGCCACCAAGGACCTCCAAGGGCTGCTCGAGCGTTGAAAGGCACCTGCGGAGGGAGGGAGTAATCATCCGTCGCGTGCTTGTCAAGAAGTGTATGAAGACACCATCACCGCCATTTCCCACACACTCCGTGTATGGCATATGGTATACGGTATACTACATTGGGGTTGTTAAACAAAGGATTCTTGTTTCCATACATTGGAGTGTTTAGGTTAGGAGTTGGATTCTTTTTGTGTCCAGTCTTGAATTCCCAAGCGCAGCCCCTGACACCATCGAGTTGCGTGGAGTTGCGGCGCGCGGGCTTTGGATGGCTTTTGGTAGGGTTTTGGCGTGTTCTCTTGAAAGCCTCTTGCCACATGCCCACTGTGCGATCTGGGGTGACCAGTTGGTACCCAGGCAAGCTTCCTTTAGTGAACCTCCTGAGTATTTGGCTCATGATCTTGGCGTGCCAATGCGGGGCTTGCATTTCGCGAACATGCCGTGCCTTGGAGAGTTGCTTTTGGTGTAAACCCGCAGTCCCGGAGGGAAGGAAGCAGTCCGGAGCTTTTTGCGAGGTCTTGGGTGGTAGACCCATTCAGGCGCTGGTGCCGTTGGTGGGTCAAACAAAGTGTTTCGAAGTCACTGGACCTTACCTGTCCATCCAACGGCAAGGGATGGAGTTGCAAAGGCTTGCCGGTTTGCCTGAGTTTCTCCCACAAACTAGCCGGAGCAGCTCTCAAGGCTCTCAAAATTGAACTAGCGCTGGCGCTAACTGAAGCCTGTTTTGTGACTGAAGAAGCAACCATCTATGGATGTTCAGCGGTTTAAGAAGCAACCATCTATGGATGTTCAGCGGTTTTCCAGTGAGCTGTGTGGAACTAACGCTAGTTGCACCCAGATCACACGTGTGGTGGCTTGATCTTTGGTCCTATAACAAGGATGGTGCTGGAATCCCTCCTTCTGAGCTCAACAGGGTCAAGCCTCGAGTGCTACTGATTCAGGCTGCACACCAAAAACAGCTCAATACATTGAACAAGGGCTCACACAATCGGCGAGACTCATGTCTCTTTCTGACTTCCTTTCATTACTTCCGGCATCCGGGGCATGTAGAAGCGGTTCATCTCCAGTGATTATTTGGAGAAGAAGCTCCACTGACTCTGGTGGACGCCCGCTTCGGTCGGTGGACACCGCCTTCGGTCGCCCGAGCTCCGGTGTGCGACCGGACCGTTAAGCCGCGTTACACGAGCTGCGTGTGTCATCGTGTGTTTTTGTTCCAGGCTGGGCACCTCGGACTATGGTGGCACTAGTGCTCTCCTGCCTGGCTTTGGTGATGCTTTCACCCTTCTGGGCCTTCATGGAGCTCTTGGATGTCTACTCCAGCTCCTTGGATCGCCATCACCATCCGGTGATCCGCGACATCCGACCTGTGGAGACCCGTTTGAGGACCCAAGGTGACCCAATGTGACCCCGGGCAGCGAGCGTGCGCCTCCGGTGGCCCATCACGGCCGTTCGTTTTGGCTGCGGTGGAGGCGAAATCACATGGATCCCAGACACTCCATGTATGCCATATATGCCGATCAGTTGGGGTGGTTTTGGGGGTCAATGTAGGCATATATGGCATACATGGAGTGTCTGGGGATATTATATAGGTGTCAAGGCCGGGTTACCGCACTGGGCCAAAAAACAGGGTGGACCAACGGCAAGGCCAGACCGGCAAACAGACAAGAGTGTCTCAACCAAGGTGGCAAGGCAGGGCTGCTGGTCTTTCCGGTCATTTTCCTGCTTTGGTTGCATGGCATTTGTCGGTCGAAGCTCATGCGTGTGCCGCGCGAGAACAAGATGGAGAACTGGGAAGCCCCTCGGTTCAAGCGCAACTCCGTGAGCCGTCAGAAAGACATGGGAAACATGGAAGCTGGACAGGTGGAGTATGTGACTTCGACGGAGATTGACAACGTTTCCACCTTCTCAACATGATGCATTCAAGGTGCCACTGAATGAGACATTTTTAGGACACTCAACGGTTCCCATTATTTTGCAGAACTGGACTCAGCCATGTACAGTATCTGGCAACGCTGCGTTGGAACGACGGCAGAACTTTTACACTTCATTTGAAAGGTGTTGGGTCTCTGGAGAAAGACCTCCTCACTCACGTGGAAGTTCAAAACCACAAGCGTTCGATATTGGGACAAAACAACGTGTTCCCAGTCATTCTGGCCCATATACTTATGTAAAGATTTTCCTACACTCGGGGTGGTTTCAGGTGTCAACCGGAATATATCAAAATGTGCATGCCGTGCATGCATAAATATTCCAAGATTTTCATGTTGGCGAGTTGGAGAGCAGCCCGACCGAGGGCCAAGGGTCAGTACTGGCGCCAGTGTACGACTCTTTTAATTCATCCTGGTAACCCACGTAAAGCGCCCCTTTTGAAACCATGGGAGGCGAGTTCCAATTACTTTGTTTAGGGCGCTTGGCGCTTGTTCTTTAAATCAAAATATATCACAAATGGCACATCTCATGATAGGGAGCCCGTGAATATCAGCCACCCACCCACCTACCGAGTCTTCTCCAGGTCTCCCGGCTCGGAGACCGGTCTCCAGGGACCCTTTCTTTTTCCGCAGACCGGTCCCGCGTGCGCATCAAGAGGCCGACGGTGCAGTGGTCGGGAGGTCAAGGGTCCCCGGCCTTGTCCGGTGACGACTGGTCGCTGTTCCGCTGGTCGCTTTTCCGCCGGGTGGTGGTCGTTTCGGCTCCGGCTCTTTTTCCCGCCGGAGCCGCGCCGTTTTGGTTGGAATTGTAGCATGTTTGGGGGGGGGGGGAAAAAGTGAGGCACTCCGGCCTGAAGACCAATCTTTAGCGCAGGAAATGGTGGCATCCACCTCTCCTAAGGAGTTGGGATCGCCGACATATGTGAGATCTGCTGGCAAAATGATTGTGCAGGTGAGAATGCTGCGGTGTGGAGAAAGTGTTTGGATTCTTGGAGATGGGAGCATCACATGAATGGATTGGGTCTGTCCTACTACCTGTAACAGTCAGTAAACAATTATCACTATTTTTGAACAAGGCCTTTATTATTTATTAACCATCATCATCCACTTGGTCAGAGCTGTAACTGTACCTTGAAGGACACACACAGCCGATTGATCGTGTGATACTTGAGCTCAAAGTTCAGTGGGCTGATGTGGGCTGTGTTCCATTCACTTAATAGAAGTATTAATGGATTTTAGAGGACCTGATTTATGAAATCATACCCCCACTTTTTACCGCCTCATCATTTTGTAAGTCTTACAAATTGTTGTTATACCAATGCAGCCTTAAAAGTACCTCGATGATGAAGACCATGTGATCGGCTCCAAACCGACCGCTCGGGTGCAGTGACTCGTGGTTCAGCGCGCGGTGCACCCAGGTCAAGACCCGAGACGCGACGCGGGGCCAAAAAGGAGCGAGTCGGATGCGGCCGATTTCTCAGTTCGTACCTCGGAAAAGGGGTACAAGATATTAATAATATACCTGTCTTTATGGGGTCAAGTCATGTCATGTCATTGCCATGTCCCATTTTACCAATGGTACTTTGGAGGGTCCAGGATGATAGATGAAGTTACAGCACCAGTATGACTATTTTCATAGCAGCGGTTGTCCAGGATCGGAAAGGACTTGGGTATTTCTTGACTGGCTGATGTTGTATTGCAGGATGACTGGAGGCTTCAAGATGTTCATTGGAAATTCGACCGCCTTGGTGAGCATAGCTAGCCTATACAGGGGACTGAAGGATCGACTGACCTATAGCACTGCTATAGTATGCCTTGCAGTGTTGGCACCGCCCAAGCTTCTGATCGCAGAGTAGAGTTGTACAGAAGTGTTTGAACAAACAAATCAGAGCAAGACTGCGTGATTCCGGTTGTTTGGAGGATGTGATTTGCATGATCCTGCAGTCGTCCCTATTGCTTTGATCCATCCTTTGCAGGTTACGAGCACCATGATCCATAGCGCATAGCATTTGTTCATTCAAAGAATGAGCAAGATTATCATTTGACCATCACTTCATGGAAAGACCTGGTGAGAACAGCGCCCTGTCCGTCCATGGAGTCCATCGTCATAGGGGCAGGCCCCGACCAAGACCACGACTGTGGTCCCCAGTCCACGCACGACTGGGGCATCACCCCGGGCAGCGACGGTCCGCGACGGTCGACCATGTCAGACAGGCCACTGGTTGATTCAAGGGGGGATATCCTACCGACCGGTCCTGACGCACCAAATAGGTATGGTAGTAATGTATGGCACCGACTCGCACCGACCCCCTCCGAGTCCCCCCGACCTGGCCCCATGCACAGACCGGACGACCGTCCGGGGCACCTGACACACACGCCGTCCCGACCGCGATGGCATGGGCGTCAGCTCCTCCGAGCTGGGAGGCGCCGTCCGATCAAGCACCGAACCGGTGTTCACGTGGCAAACAAAAAAGAACCATGTGCTTGGACAGTCTATCCAATCAATATCTAATACATGCATATGAAATCAGAAAACTCAAAAGCCTATAAACAAGGACGCTACTAGGGGCTCCTGGCATCGCTACTAGGAGCAAGGACGCTACGTTCGGGGCTCTTGGCCTTACTAGCTAGGAACAAAAAGCCACTACGAACACGTAAAAACTAATAAAAACATCTAAAACTTCTCCAGGTGAGCCGCCTTCGGATGCTCCGCTGTGCGTGGAGAGCTTTTCGGGAGCGCCCTGGAGCAAACCATCGGTGCAGGTTGCTTCGAAGCGGCGAACGAAGCTAAGGAGAGATCCCTGGAGCTACATGGGGAAGCAATGAAACCAGTGAATCTGTCGCAGTGTAGGGGCCAAAAGCTCATTGTTTTGGTAAGTCCTTTTAAAAGAAGCATTTTGGGAACTAACCAAAAAGCGATCCTATCAAAGCAAGAACACTGTATTTTTGGAGTCGAGGGCCATGAGTCGTGAGATGTCGGCTAAATCTCCGGTGAATGAGCGTTCCGAGTGTGATTGTCATAATTGTCTATTTGGCCCATCAGACTGGAAATGTCGTACACCCTTTTAAAAAAAGATGTGGATCAAAGTGAATAGTGATGTTTTTTTTGCGGACATGTGGACCTATATGCCAGACGCTCCATGTGTATGACCTACAGTCATCCCTTTTCACCCACCCCAACTTCCAATCCCATGGAGCGTTTGGGTATGATAGGAATCCCTCCAACATGTGGTGGAAGTCATGTTGCAGTGGGTCAAAACCTGCTCAAAACCCGGTAGGTTGACCCCTGGTGATCTATTATGTTATGTTTAGTATTATGTTTATAATATAGTTAATAGCCCGGGCCTTCAAGGGGTGGTTAACGGCTAAGGGGCTATAAATAGACACCCCTTGGAGGGTCCTGGAGATGTTGATTAGCTATAGCAATTTTGTGCATTTTCAGATCATTACGCTGAACTCTTGTGCAAGTATCGATGGTCAACCAGGGTCCTCCAGTGGGTCCCCCTGTTTTGACTCACTGCCGTGGTTGATTGCATCATTTTATCCGCTCCACTCAGGAGAGACGTCTCCTGCCACTCTTGCGCAGCTGGGCGGTGGGCAGCTGCGTGTGGTCCGACCGCACCTGGCTCCGGAGCCGCGTTTGAGAGCAGAGAGGCGGAGGTCGGTCGTAGGTGCACGATGGACTGGAAGAACATGACTTGGTGGCAAGATGAGAAGGATTGGGCACTGATGTTCGCAGGTGTATAAACAGGAACGAGGACGCTACGTTCGGGGCTCCCGGCATCGCTATACTGGGAGCGATCGGACGCTACATTCGGGGCTCCTGGCCTTACTAGCTAGGAACAAAAAGCTACTAGGAACATGTGTTTCTGATGTAGAAGGATTGAGCCAACACGATCGACGTCTTGGACGTTCCGTGCGCAATAAGCGCTATACTATCAGCGCACTCTAAGGACCTACACTCGCATGGGGGGCTTCACCCTCGAGGCCTTCCAGTTTAAGGCCCGGGACGGACGCGGGACGCGGGATGAAACGCTTCACGCGGAAAGCACGCTGAGACCTGAAGAGGGGTGGTGGATCAGGACCTGAAGATGGCATCCCTGATCTACCAATTGGCCTCCCGAAGAGGGTCTCATGGTGGTTCGGTGGAGTGGTGCGATGGATTTTTTTGGGGGGGCATCACATCCATTGTTCTCCTGTGGGCCCAAGCCCTTCCTGTGTTGCTTGGTGAGTCAAACGCAGATGGCTAAGAGCGAGAGCACACGAGATCCAACGAGACACCGACACATGACGAGGACTGCAGGACGTGACTGGACTTCCTGGTTTCAGCAGACAGCTGCTTGGCCGCCCGCTAAACTGGCTAGGGCTCTTGGGTGTGTCTCAATCTGTGTTTTTCATCAAACCCATGGGAAAACACCTATAGGGCCTGGCCCATGGGTTTTCATGCGTTTTCATGAAATCGTGAAACCATTGGAACCACCGGAACCATGACAGGGGCACCAGACTCCGCAGCGACCGCGGTCCGTGGTCGAGGCCTATGGTGCAGTGGACCGCCGCTGGGCGCGGGTGGAGGTCAAAGCACCCTCGCGCCAAGGTGTCGACCTGGTCGCACCCGATCTCCGGGGCGATCGGCGCCGTGTGTGACGAGGGTTCGACGAGGAGAGTTGGTTCGAATTGGAAGAAGGGTTTGATGACCATATTACGGACATACGTATTGGAGTGCAGAGGGGAGGATCACTGGCCACCAACAACTCTCCATTTGGGCGATGTTGGACGCAACGGACACAGGATCATGCAGTCACGCTGGTATGATCGTGCAACTGGCCGGGACCAGATCACATTTCAACAGCAGGGCATCCCGTCAAATGCACCAGCTGGGCACGGAACATGCCAGGAATTCATGAGGTGCAGCCAAGAAGTGCTGCACATTTGGATCGCACAATCACGTTTTGGGGTTGAATCTCTACACAAAAATGGACCGGAATAGACATAGACTTGCATAGAATTGCCACGAATCACATCGAATCACGAAGGAATGGTTTTGAGATGAAATGGAAAGAAGAACGTGTTTGGCCAGATATTTTTGTCCATCACTCATGAAATACATTTCGATATGTATTGTACATATTACAAATTATTACAATCTTATCCAATATAGTGTAGTGT